TTAATGTAACTGTATTAACTACAAACTCAAACATTAAAAATATTTATTCTATTTGATTAAAATATATTGTTTTTTTTTGTTAAACAAGAAATTTGCTAAGAGGCTGAAGAACCTTGTTTCTAAAATCTATTTTTTTCTAATAATAAAGATCATTTATTATTTATTGTATAATATACTGGTCAAAAAAGTCGTTTTTGTGAAAAATATTTTTAGTATTATGTAAATTTTCCTATGCAATTTAATTATAAGGTTAATTTAATTTATGTATTAAATCACTTAATTTTTCCCAACCTGCTTATTTCTTATATGTACATATAATATATTTTTATATATTATATAAATGGTTAAATTTTAAATATTATTTTTATATCCATAATAAAAATCATGTCAAATCAATAATAATCATAATTTCTTTTATTTATTACATTTTTTTAAACTGATTATTATGTATATATAAATGATTATATTTTTAATTTTCCCATGCAATTTAATTATAAGGTTAATTGAATTTAGAAATTAAATCACTTAATTTTTCCCAACCTGCTTATTTGTTATATGTACACATAATATATTTTATATATATTATATAAATGATTATATTTTTAATATTATTTTTATATCCATAATAAAAATTATGTCAAATCGATAATAATCATAATTTCTTTTATTTATTACATTTTTTTAAACTGATTAATATGTATATATAAATGATTATATTTTTAATATGTTTGTTTTCTTTTAAGATGAGTGAATTTTGTTATAGTAATCTATAATAGTCTTATAAGAAAATATAGCATTCATTAAAAATATAATTGATTTATACATATATATTTATCAGTTTGAAAAATATTATTTCCTTTAATTTAAACTGTTAGTACAGCTTTTAGGCAATAGATGGCGCTGCATTGTATTTAAAATTCCCGGCGATATACTTGCAGCGCCACAGTGATTATGTCCGCAACTAAAAATAACTTAGTTCCGATTTTAACTAAAGAGTGGGCCATCTATACTTTATCTAATCTATGGCGCTAGTAATATCGCTGCATACAGACACATAGGTACTTCCACACAAATACAAACCATTTCTAACCCACAATCCACACAACAAGGTCTGTTCTTCCTCGTTTCGCGCATACTAAAAATCACGGAGGTAGGCAACCCACTGCAAAAAGTTTAAAGGCGGCCATTTTTGTTGTTTACAATCTTTATGCTTTGGATTTGTGCTCTATTTATACAGATTAATAATCGTTTTAAACGTTGTTAGTTTATTGGATTTTATTGACATAAGTTGAGTTTGCTCCTGTGTGTTCCTGTTTGGTTTTATTGACGTTACTAGTGTGAAATTCACACTGAATCAGTTGAGTGCACTCCTGTTTGTGTTGTTTTTGTCATTGGCAGTTGACTGTACTAGTGTACTTGTTTATAAACACTAATTAGTGCCTATTTTGAAATAAACTCTATAAAAGCCAAAGAATGGATTGAGGCTGCTGATAATTCAATGGTTAATATGGAAAAACCAAAGTCTCGTAAGTTCCACTACAATGTGTGCAAAACATAATTATTAATGTATATTATTTACTTAGATCGAATTTGTGCTATACATTTTGAGCCAATATATTTGGTAAGGCATCCACACGAAGTTTTATATGGTTTGTCACCACCTAAAGCTTACCGAGGCCTTACTGAGAAAGAAAAGCCAAAGAATGGATTGAGGCTGCTGATAATTCAATGGTTATAATGGAAAAACCAAAGTCTTGTAAGTTCCACTACAATGTGTGCAAAACATAATTATTAATGTATATTATTTATTTAGATCGAATTTGTGCTATACATTTTGAGCCAAAATATTTGGTAAGACCTCCACACAAAGTTTTATATGGTTTATCACCACGTAAAGCCTACCGAGGCCTTACTGAGAATGCTGTTCCAAGTTTGCATTTGCCTGAAAGGTAATATTATATTATTGTTAAGTGAAGAGTCTTCAATTAACAATATTATACCATTTATTTTTTATATCTGTTAACTAATTTTCTAACTATGAAATTTACAGATCCGAAACATTAGAAATGGTTGTAGATCTACCAAATGAAGCAACTTGTGCCAAAAAGGTAATATAAATTATTTGGAATAAAAAACATAATAATATGAATGTTATTTTTAAATTAGCAGTTCTGAACCATTGGATGACCTATCTAATAATGCCAAATGTTACAGGAAGAGGATAAAACAAAAAATTAAAATATGTCTGCCCTTTACATATTTTTTTTTATTTATTTGGACATTGGACCTTTTTCCAAAGGTAATTTTTAAAATAAAATAAAAAAACAAAAATGTACTAATAAATAATTATTCAATTTTACCAAAACTGTGATATATATACAATTCAATACCTTTTAACCAGTGGAAACCAAAGAAAAAGGTGGAAACTATTATAGTGTAGTAAAAATTAAGTTTTAAATATTCGATTTTATATGAAATTGTTATTAGAAAGTATTGTTATTAAAACGTATTTTATTAAATTTTGTGTTAGTAGTTGACTAGTTAACCCTAATTAGGGATTAAATATGTTACCTAGGTTTTTATTATTATTTTTTTATCAATTTAAATATGCTAAATTGTATTATTTTATAAGCATGAAGAAATATATTTATTTTGTTAAATTATATGTAAAAATTTAAGTGTATATAAAAAATACTATTTATTTTGATTATTTTTTATTAAAAATATATATTATATTTTTTTGTTTTATTTATATATCTACTTACTAGAAATCCTACCTTCACCATTAATAATTTCCGTACTTTCAAAAATTAATTTACTAAAAAATTATCAATTTGCAATTAAATTATTTTGATTTATATTACTTTCTCTTAACTTTTAATTTCTAAAAAAGTCATCGACTATGGTCATGTACATCCATTTTTACTTGCTAAAATACTTTCATCATTGATAATTTTATTTAAAGATTTTGCCAATAATCAATTTTTAAGAAAATGTATTAAAAGTTATAATAATTATTATTAATTATTAAAATAATTATTGATTACCATATTGTAAAATAATGTTTAATTTACACAAGTAATAGTGAACTTGTGTTTATTTTAATTAACACATTTCTGTTTATAAACGTATACGTTAAAACTTGAAACAACTATATATATATTTACTTGCTCAAAATACCTTTTTATAAAGATATCTTTAATAATTTATTAATTAAATTCCCCAATTTACATATTTTTGTCAAAGCTTTTGTTTAAAACAAACATTTGCGTTTACATTAAAACTTTAAACAACTCTTTATTTTTAAATTAACAGCGGCAAATAAATCAAAGATGGTGGCCATTAAACTGTTCACGTGGTGCGCATAACAGTCCTGATTTTCGTTCGCATTTTATCGAGGAAGAACAGACCTTGTTGTGTGGATTGTGTTCTAACCATAGATTTCTAATTGAGACTGTTTCCTTTTCGTGGGGTTAAAGTGGGGGAAGTGAAAATACCCGTATGATTGCATTAAGGCGCCTGCGTGACGGCATACCATATTTTTGTCCCTATTTGGAAAGTATAATAAATACTTTTTAATAAATTCTATATAAATTGTATAAAAAAAGCACTTAAGGATAATAAACACACAAAATGATGATATTTTAGATTTTATAATGGCATGTTTATAAGTAACAGCAAGAATTGTAAAATTGCTGCGACTTGTAGGAAAGTTCTTAGAAAAACGTTCTAAATTGAAGATTTTTCATCATTTTTAATATTTTTTAACTTTTTAACTTTTAATATTTTTAAAGTATTTAAAAAAGTGTTAATTGCATTAATCTTATAAAAGATTATTTTTAACCGCCCTCATGAATCTCAATGCGATTAAAAAGTGAGGTTATAACCTCAAGTAATCAAAAAGCAATTTTTAGTACAAATGTTGTCTTTAAAGCCAACATTTATACTATAAAACCCAATTTTATGTTTATTGTAATGGAAAATTTACCCATATTTATACACTCCTTAATTTTACTACGGTCTAAAAATGAGTTAGTCAAAAATGACTAGTTTTCAAAGTGGAGAAGCAGTTACCCCAGACATTTAACAGCCGATTCTTGAGATATAGTTAATTTCATATTAAATGGAAAATTGACTACCTATTTCTTAAAAACTGTTCTACTTTTATAACTTTTGACATTTTCGGATTCAGCGGACAATTTTACATAGGAGTTGACTGCTAAATGTTCGGGATACAATTTGCTGTTGGCGAGAATTAGTAGTGTCTGCTTTTTCGCTATTAGTCATTTTTGACTTATTCATTTTTAGAGAGTAGCCTCTGGTAATTTTACGTCCGCGCCTGTACTTTTACTACGCGCAGCGCAGTGTCCTGTTTTTTGCCATCCTGTACGCAGTAAATTTACAGAGGTGGTTTTACTGTGTATATACCTACCTACCTTAAAAATGTAGAAAATCATTTTAAAATGTCATATATTTTTAAATTAAGATTTAATTCAAATATATTTATTTGCGCGTCTAGAACTAAAGAACTAGAACTATATGAAGTATTGAAGTAGCTGATTTTTTAACTACTAATAAAATAAACTAATAAATAAAAGACGAATAAAAATTGTACAAACTTTTAAAGAAATTATAATAAAATTCTCAATTAAATCACTTTTCGAGATATTGGATGCCGAATAATAGGACCAACGCGACCAATCCAAAGCCCTGGTTAACATATTATCATTGATTAATGAATTCTTCACTCAAATTTAAACGAGAAAGTATGTAAATTTAATTTGTATACCTATATGCATTTTTAAATTATGTCTCTTTTTTTCTAATATTTTTTTTGTTTAAAAATCGGAAATATTTTTAATATGAAATCGTACTTTTTGTTAAATAAAATATAAATTAAATAAATAAAAACTGAAATCCTAAAATATAGCGCTATAGCGTTAGTTAAAATTGCTTTTGGAGAAAATGATTTAATTATATAACATTTTTTTTAAATCTAGAAAGAAACATAAAGTGGAGCTTTTGGCCAATAAAAAGGCGTTGAGAAAATTACAAACGGCATGTGAAAGAGCCAAAAGAACTCTTTCTACCTCAGAAGATGTTTCAATAGAAATAGACGCCATATTTGGAGGACTTGACTTTCAGGCTTCAATTTCGCGAAGTAAATTTGAAGAAATAAATAACGATATATTTACTAGAACTCTTGAACCTGTCAAAAAAGCCTTAAGGGATGCAAAAATAGATTTCAAAAGGGTTGAAGACATAGTTCTAGTTGGTGGCTCCACTAGGATTCCGAAGATACAGCATCTTCTTCAAGAAATGTTTCCAGGCAAACCAATTAATAATTCCATTAATCCAGATGAAGCGGTTGCATTTGGTGCTTCAATACAGGCTGCCATATTATCTGAAAACGCCAAAGGTGTTCCAGAAATTCTTCTTCTGGATGTCACTCCATTATCCTTAGGGATTGAAACTGCTGGTGGAATGATGGCCACGTTGATAAAGCGTAATTCTACTATACCGATTACTCACACACAAGTAAAATATTATAAGGTTTTATGTTTTAATTTTATGTTGTAATTTCAGGTATTCTCCACATATTCAGATAATCAATCAGCCGTTTTAATTCAAGTATATGAAGGGGAGAGAACGCTTACTAGGGATAATAATCTGTTGGGTATTTTCGAGCTCTCTGGCATTCTGCCAGCACCAAGAGGTATTCCACAGGTAAGATGAAAAACCTTTTAGAAACACAAATGATAAGCTAAATTAATTTAGATTGAGGTTACCTTTGAACTGGATGCAAATGGAATTTTGTCTGTGAAAGCTATAGAGCTAACAAGTGGTACAGAAAATACAATAACAATAAACAATCAAAGAGGTCAGTTTACAAGAGAGCAAATAGAGGCGATGATTTCAGATTCGGAGAAACACAAGGAAAATGATGATATTTTAAGGGCCAGCACTGCTGCAAAAAATGACCTAAAAACTTATGTTGAGCATATAAAAAATTTCGTAAATATATATAAATTGGTAAAGGGGGGTTCTACTTTCTAGGGTAAAAATCATTTTCTCAAAACCACTTTTTTGTTGCTGTACGACAAAGTTATTTATTCGGCGCGACACACGGTGGACTAGAATCGGCGAAAAGCGGCCAAAAATACAATTTAAGACTTTTTGCAATTTTTTAGAAGTAGGTACCTAAAAAGGATCTTTTGCGATTTATAATAAGATAATTGTCTATATAAATCAACACATAAAAATGACAAAGAAAATATAGAACCTTCGATATTCAAATCAGGAGAAATTCCCCTTACAAAAGAAGGGGCTTTGGCGTTGTTTCTTGATTTACAAACTCAGAAGCAAAAAAAAATTAAAATAAATGTGTATTATTTATAGTCCACAAGATATTGAAATTTAATATATTATAATATATATAAATTATATATAATTTTATAATTATCTATTTAAAAAAAATATTATTTATTATTATAGATGGAAATCAGAAAGTTTCCATTTTGAGGAAAGTTTCCAGTCGGGAATATATTTTTATTTTGAAAGTTTCTTTTAAACATACCGGAAACTTTCCCTGTTTTTTTATGTAAATGTCATTGTTTAACAGATGATTTGCGAAGTTAAGGCCAAGAAACTGAATAAGAAGAAGTTAATTTGTGTTAATTTAAAGAAGAAGTTTGTTGAAGATCTTCATGATCACAATTCATAAATCGTTTGCAAAAAAACCCTTTTAAAAGGTAAACAAAATAAAAACAATAAACTACAATGCCAAGAGAAAAATCTTATATTTGGAATTATTACAAAATATTGCAAAAAAATGACCATGCTCAATGCAAGTTCTGTAAAAAAAATATTATCCTTTATTATAAGATTATCTATGCAAAATTTTAAGTCCACTGAAAGTCAAGAAGAGAGTCCACCAGGTAGTAATGCCAGTACTGGAAACAAAAGAATTTGTTGATAACATGTCTTTTAACAAACAGAGTAAATTTGAACAACTATTTGCTTCAGCAATTTACTCTAGTTCTTGCCCCTTTAGTTTAGTCAAAAACCCTGCTGTAATATTTTTTAAGCAACTACGTCCAAGGTTTAAGCTACCTGTAAGAAAGAAATTAAGTACAACATTGCCTAACTCTGAATATGCTAGAATCCAAAAAGTAGTTAAAGATAAAGTACAAGAGGCTGATAATATGACAATTCTTTCAGATGGTCGGACAGATGTCAATGGGGTAGCACTAGTAAATATAATTGTAGCAACTCCAAAGCCTGTATTTTTAAAAACGAAAGACTCTGGCTCACGCAAAAATGTTGATTTTATTTTGTCTGTAGTTTTTTTTTCATATTTTATTGGTCAACTTAGTACTAAGTTTAGTATTCATAATCGATTATTGATTATCTAAAATAATCGATTTTTTCGATTATTTGATTAATCGATTTTTTGAAAAATCACAATTTTTATTTTGTTTAGTTTAAAAAAATGCTCATTTGGTCATATTATTTTTATTTACATATTAGATTTTTAATTATAACAATTAATTAATTAATTATAAAAATTATTACGATTAGATAATTAGGTATGGCAATTAAATATTGGGCATAATGTTTAACTCAATCTGCTGATGAAATGTAAGTGCATTCATTATTTAAAATAATAAATATTTTTTAATAATAAAATAATCGATTAATCTAATAATTGATTAATCAATATTCGATTAATCAAATAATCGATTATTACAAAGAAAATAATCAACGGTTTGATAATTGATTATTTTGCCCACCCCTATAGTATCTTTTACTTTTCAATATTGCTATGTAGGTGACCAATATTATTTATTTTTGCATCTTCCTGGTACAAAAACTCATTTCCGCAATAAAAAACTGCCCGGTAATTTTTGTCAAATGGGAATTATAAAATATTCAATCGCCGCTATTCATCCAATTAAATTTGTACAGCATCAAGATGCTTAATAGACTAAACTTGTGTTGAAATTTTATAATTTTATTTTAAATAGTTTTTTAAGGATTTTTACATTTTTTTGCCATTCCAGTCCACTGTGATATTGGGCTTCAAAAACGTTGTCTTCATACATTCTTGTCTGGTTACATAGAAATTGCTTTGTTTTTGGCCTAATAAAGAAGCAACCCCTTAATATTCATTACTAAAAAATTATATTACAGATTTTGATAAACACTAGGTTGGGAGATGAAAAAAAGGCAAAGCTATCTGAAGCCATCGATAATAGTGAACTTTGGATACAACTGAACGGTGAAGCATCAGAAAGAGAGTACGTGCTTAAAAAACGCGAGTTTGAAAATATTATTAAGCCTTTACTTAGCGAACCGATATCTTTAAACTTACCTGCTGACAATAATGATAGCGGATCTGCTCCGAATATAAACGATATCGATTAAAGTACATGTAAAATACTGCTTAAGATAATAAACTAAACAAAAAAAGTAGAAAGTTTTTAAAGTTTTAAGATACTTTCGTAATTTTATAAGGTGTCGGAAGATAAAAAGACTAACGTATAGTTTAATTTATATTTTATTTAATATTAACAAAACGTAAATTAAAATATCACGAAAAGTTAAGCCGTTTCTTGGCTAATGTGCACTTTTCATTATATTTTACAGTATAGTTACAAAGTTTTTGTCGTCTAGTCTGCATAATTTGCCCCGAGCTGTAAACCTTAATTCTATGTAAAATTGTATAAAAATCACTAACTAAAATAATCAACACAATAAAGTTATCAACAATAACTGCAAATTGCAATAATTGATGCCAGGAACAAACATAACTAGACATACACTACAAAAAGATGCCTTTAGGAAGTAGCCCCTTTTTCAGTAAACTCTTCTGGTAAAAATTGAGGTAGAAGTATGGGAACTTGATGTAGTGATATTTGGCGGAAGTTATAAAAATATTTAATATTTTGTTATGGATTTATGAATGATAAAACAAAGTATAGCAAAGTCGTATACATGAAAAGTTAAAAGTTAATGGGAAGGTACTTATGAGGAATTCGACGCCAAATCGAGCACTTCTAAAGAGGTCGCTCTTCGGATTTGGCTTTGAAAAAAAATTTTGATTAAGTTTAAAATTTATGAACATAAAAAAATCAACATTTTTTTAATTCAAAACTTTTCTTACGTTACCAAAAGTTTTGAATTAAAAAAATGGTGATTTTTTATTTTCATAACTTACGTTCTTAAAAAAGTACAAACAAAATATTCTATAAAATTTTTTAGTTTCAGCTTTTTTTATTTAATTTTTTTTATAGTTTAATGCTTAAAATCCAATGCCAGTGCCAACTTTAAATTATTAAAAAAGAGATGACATTACTGAGGACTAAACTCAAGTCTCTGTGAAGCCGATGCTTAACAACAAAACTATCCCCTTCAATGACTATAACATGTCATAAATATGTTAAAATCATTTTTAAAGTTTTTTTTGTTGCTGTTTTGATATAAACTTTTCGCATCAGTATGTTTATATTTTTATTTCAATTATAAAAAATTAGAAAGAGAAGTTACCCCACTATGAGATTTGAACTATTAAAAACAGAGTGGATAAAAGTTATTTAAAAAAAAATTGAAATAAAAAAAAAAAATTTGTATATTTTTATAAAAAGTATGTTTAAAAGCAAAAATTTAAAATAAAATGTCAATTAGTTAACTCTTAAAAAAGTTATAAGCATTTAAAAAAAGGACCATTTGTTAAAATATTAGTTGGATAAAAAACATTGAAACATGAAAATTTCACTGAAATCAAAAGGCTTCGGTTTTAAAATCGGTCGATTTGGCGTGTAATGCCCCCTTTCATAGTTGTCTTTTAAAGGGAGAAATAACTAAAACATAAAATTGTACTATTTTGAGCTGGAACAAGTTTGTTTGTAATAAATTTATTTCATTACTTAAACTTAAACTAAATTAAATCTGTCTTTTAAACTGATATGCATTACGGCAGTGAATATATTTGTTTAAGGAGTGGTATATTCTGTAAATTTATATTTAAAATAACCATAGTTTTTAATTTATAACTTATAAACAAAATAAAACTATGTTTTTAAGTAAAGTTTTACAGAATAGACTCCTGGGGGTTTCAGACTTTATTGTTGGGCTATCTATGGAAGAATTGGTTGAAAAGAATGGCTGAAAAAAGGCGCGCTTCCTTAAAATTCTCGTATTTACAGTGCCTTATTTACCACTTTGATTTGAAATATACTCCTTAACAAATATTATGATAGAGCTTCTCAGAAAATTTAATGATTAAAAAATTACTTTCACTTTAGAACAATTATAATATTTTGTAAGGAAATTATAAGTCAAATGCAAATGGGCAAGAATAATTAATAATAATATATTATATGTATATCTATGTACAGTCTTTTAAAAGTAGGTATCCCAGAAACTAGAAAATCTCTGTTTCAATGTACAAATAAATAAAACAATTCAATAATACAGATAATCGCAAACATCCTATATCTACATATATATAATTATAATCTATTGATGTGAAAATCAAAAAGTTTTAACGAAAAAGCTATTATTTCTTTTATTACATCTGTAACGGCAATTTCTTTGGCACTATTTTAGTACTATTTGGTAGGTTAATTCTAATGTTGTAGGTATGTGCTACTTAGTTTACGTTAATTCATTGATGCGTTTCCTTAAAACTTTTCGACTTCTATAGGGATTGTACTCTTGTGGCCATCCATCTTTGACCGAAATAATAATATTTTACATGGGATAGTTCCCAAGATACCGACTCGCGTTTAAAATATTTGTTTTTTATATTAAAAAGTAAATATATAGTAAACTAAATACTAGCAGCCAAAAATATTTCTTAGGTACTACACAAAACTATTTATATTTTTTTGTTTACTTTTCAATGATGGTCCTTTTATCCAAATGTGCCATCTTAAAGAATTGTCCATGTCAATTTTATAAAAGTTAGATGCATATTGACCTAAAAGGCAACAGTTTAATTCATATAACTATTTTAGTGTGCTTTAACAGTATAAAAATATAATATGAAATGAGAAAAACGACCAAAAAACTTGGTAGGAAAGACCACTACTCATTCCATACCACTTATTCAATTAAAAAATTGTAAATGTTTATATTTTTACTTACCAGATTTCCTCTTATTTACATCTTAATTTCCTCAGAGGCTCTGAAATTTGACAGTGTCTTTTTAATCCTGAGAGCAGTTAGTCTTGCTGTTGCATTATGATACCAGCATTCTTTCATCAACTTGGTCATCATATGCAACGCGTCATAACTCTGCCATCTGTTCGGTATGTTAGGCCGCTTCTTTTCTATACACACCACTCTAAAACAACAAATAAATTTTACATTGCATAGTAACTTTCGATTTTGACAAAAAATATAAGGTTTGTTTTTGTTCGGTATACCGTGGGTAGATCAAAATCATTTCATGTGACTTGCTATGGAATGACGGTCCGTGAGCAGTAGGGTGTCCGTTATTTTACAAGTTGTTTTTTTACTAGGGTATCATCTAAATTATTTGTTTACAGTCTAAAAACAAGTTTGAAAAAAATAATAATTTTTCCGATGTCGTTTAACCCTGGCTTAATCACATAAGAAAATATTCATATCTCGCTAATTAATAGGCATGCAACAAATTGTTTATATTAATAGACGTTTTTGTAGGAAATTTTATTTATTTAAAAAAATGTATGAAATAAACTAAAATATATCTTTTTTTTTTAAATTTCATAAGTTGGTTTTAATTTAAAAGAAGCCACTATAAAAAAGATAAATACAAAACTTTTCATTTTGATTTATTTCAAATTTTGACCTCCGACATAATTTAAATCGATGATTTTACGAAAAAAAAAACATGAAATACACATCTCTTTTGTAAAGCGTAAAATGTCTTATATTGTTTCATGTCTATTTATTAGCGAGTTCACAATCCACACAAGGTCTATCTCGTTTCGCGCATGCCATTTTTATGTAGTTTACAATTCTTGTCCTTTGGGTTTTTGCTGTTACAGGGTTGCCACCGATTTGTCTAAACCAAATTCCCTGACTTTTCCAGGAATTCCCTGACCTTCCCTGATTTTTTCCAGACAAAATGTGTTTTCTTTTGGGTTTCCTGACCCTCAATGATTTTTTCAACTGGACTTTAGAGTGTTGATTTTTAAAATTTAGTATGGGGCCATTCAAATATTAGGTAAGCAGTAATTTTGTAATTTTTAACCCCCCTTCCCTTTGTCAGCAAAAGTAAGTAAAGCTTATCATTAAAATATACAAAAAAATCAAAGCAATCAAGCAAAGACTTGTATAATAATTGAATTTATTTTTCTCTTGGTGGAGAATTATAACGATTAATTAAAAAACTAAACTTTTATTGAAGTTTATAAAATTCAAAAACATTAACAAAAAATCAATAGGTACTTCTTATTAAAAAAAACAAACAAAAAATTTTCTGTAGCTAATTTTTTTGGGATAATTTTTAATTTAGGTTTTTGTTTGTTTGGTTTTTATTACATTAATTTTCTGTTCAATCTGAAAATAACAAAAATAATGAAATTTTTAAAAATGCCTCTGAAATTTTGTCTGCGGCAGGTCTTGTTTATCAAGTTGATGAGTTCTTATCAGTAAATATTTGATAGTACAAAAAAAAGATTTTATTTCTTTTATTATTTTTTGCAGGAGTTTTTATTGAAGAAATTGATTTATTCTGGTTATATTCTAAAGCAATATTATTATTAATATTATTACCATATAAAACTGTAACTTTTTCAAGCATACTCTCTGAAAAAGAATTAGTCAAAATTGACTTATTTCATAGTGAAAAAGGATGCTTTTTTACTTTGAAATATGTCATTTTTGACTAATTCACTGCAGTCACTAATAACTGTAGTCCACAGCAATTTGTATCCAAAATATTTAATAGCCAATTCTCATGTAAAATTGCCCCCTGAATCCGAAAATCATAGCAGTTTTTGAGATATAGTCAATTCCATATTATATGGAAAATTGAATAAATCTTAAAAACTGTTCTACTTTTATAACTTTTGACGACATATTCGGATTCAGCAGACAATTTTACATATAAATTGACTGCTAAATATCCGGGATACAAATTGCTGTTGACTAGAATTATTAGTGGCTGCTTTTTCGCTATGAAGTCATTTTTAACTAATTCATTTTTAGAGAGTAGTATTTTCCATCTGGTTCTTTTTTTAAGAAAATTTGACAAATTTGTGTTCTTCGTTGCCGAAATTGTTTTTTAATGGCCCGCACTTTTTATGTGGCCTATGACTGCTTGCAAATCAAACATTTGGCTTGATTAATTAATTAATTAAATAATTATGCTTTTACTGATTAATTAAATAGTTTATTAATTATGTTTACCATTTACAAAATAAACAAATATTAATCACCCTAAACATAAAAATAGTTGGTAATAGTCTTAGAAGGTTATAGTGATAAGTCGTGATATAGACTTCTAAGGTTATAGTAATAAGTTTGACATATAGCGCTGCCATATTTTGAATAAATTAAATTTAAATTACACTCGTTAACATAATTTTTTTTTAATGAAAATTTTGTTGACCAGTTTTATTTTTAAATAACCAATAACCTGACCGAGTTAGGATTTTCCTGACTTTTTTTGCCAATTCCCTGACATTTCCCTGGCATTTCTAAAAAATTTAAATTCCTTGACATTTCCAGGGTTTCCAAGTTTTCCAGATGAGTGGCAACTCTGTGTTAATACAGATTATTAATCATTTTAAACGTTGTTTCTTACAGAGGCACTTGTAAGCCTTAAAAGAAGACTTAAAGTGCTAAGGGCAACCATTTTACTCTTTTGTAAAAAATAAACCTTATTCTATCAGGGCTGTCATCAAACTGTTAAATGTCAACTTTAAGGTTAATTTGTGGGTATGGTAAATTTATGGATTATGGTAAATTAACCTTGAAATTGACATTTGACAGTTTGATGACAGCCCTGATAGAATAAGGTTTATTTTTTACAAGAGGAGTAAAATGGTTGTCCACAAGTGCCTCTCTGAGAAACACAACGTTTTAAATGATTAATAATCTGTATAAACAGCACAACCGTAAAGCACAAGAATTGTGATAGTTATTTACCTGTCAAGCTTTGTAAATGAATCTTTACGGGCGAGCTGGAAGTGAGCCTAGTAACGATTAATTACAAAGCTTGACACGTACAAACTTTTATAACCTTTAGATAACGATTTTCAAATATAAAATTTTAATTAATGTGTCAAATCATTGGACTCAAATGTGTCATTTCATTTCATAAATTGCTTACCTATAGGCCTGGTACAGGTCTTTTATACAAGCCCGTAAAATATTGCAGGTCTATTCCCATAATGTATCGTTTACTTGGATACAAAAACAACAAAATAAACCTATAAAATGGCCGCAATTAAAGTCTGTGCAGTTGGTTGCCTAATTTCGTGATATTTAGTATGCGCGAAACGACATAGAACAAACCTTGTGTGGATTGTGAGTGAGTTATGCATTTTTTCTTATGTCATTAAACGACATCGGATTTTTTTCAAAACTGATTATAGACTATAAAAACAAATAATTTGAATGATACCCAAGGAAAAGAAAATAACTTGGGAAATAACGGATACCCTAGTGAGCATTGATTTTAAGAAATAATTTGCGCCCAGTTTTCTTTTTGTAAAAATCGGAAAATTTCTAAAATAATAAATTGCTCTTTAAATTTTATCTTGCTTCAATATTGTCAAAATTTTATCTTTTGGCGATTCTTTGAATTAAAATTTAGTTGAAATCCACCTTCAGATTGCAGCTACCTTTAGATATTAACTGAAAGTCTATATCTGTACCCCAGAGCCAAACTGTAAGTCACACTTTTGAAATTGTTTAGGAGATCAAAATTAAGGTTGTAGACGCATTCAAGTTTGGAACCAGAAGAGTTTAATACCTATTTTTTTTAACAAACATAAAGAAAGTATCATTTAATTTCTGGAAAGTAAATGGTGCGGTTGATATAGTTACTTTTAGAAATGAAAAATAAATTAGACACTATATGGCTTAAATAAAACAATTTGATTGACTTAATACTTGACAACTGGACATACAATTAATTTGGCTTTTAAAATATCTTAATATATATAATATTAAGTCCCACATGAGATGAGATATTATACAGTTTAATCTTGCCAAGCCAAACAGTCTTATGAGACTTAATACCATATAAAACTGTAAATTTCTTAGAACCAAAAAATAGCAATTGTTTATCAGTCATTCCAGGCTACTCGGGAATTTTTGTAGCGTCCGTTAAAATCAAAAATTGTGATTAAAAGCTACTGTAATTAAATTAAATATTGTTACAATAGTTAATATTGCAAACATTTTTATTATGCTTGTAATAATTAGGCTTAAACTTATAAGCATAATAATTTCGGTAGCTTTACTAACAATTTTTGATTGTAACGGACGCTACAAAAATTCCCGAGTAGAGTGGAATGGCTGTTATTGCAATATTTGGCCCTAAGGAAGGTGTGGACCCAATATCATTTTTAAACTGCTATATCAAAAACAAAAAATTGTAGGGGAAAGGACTTAATACAGTTTGGCTCTGGAGTACAGATATCGGCAGTGAAACGTCTGCTCGACTATTATAATAATATGTGCTTTCTCCGCCAGGTCTATAATGTACTATTTTTGCGCATCTAATTTAATAAAATTGTTTATGTTTTAATATAATATAATATCAATATTATTAGCCTTAAAGATGCCCTTATAAGTTTATTATTTTATTAGTATACATGGGCTTAGACAATAAATCGATAAAAAATAATTTTTTTAGTCAATTCCATTTATATTATCTCCACATATGCCTTTTAAGGTAGTATTCTTTTGAAGAGCTTAATAAATACATAGCAGTAGGCCGTGACAGCAAATTCAGCGGTGCCAATGTAGTAAAAATAAAACTTTGTAATTTAATTAACAAATTAATAGGTACAAATTAAATTATCAATAAAAACTAAAAACATAAAAAGTAAATAAGTAACAATATAAATTGTTCATTTGTTAATAATGGCCAAATTAAAGTTTAAAATTGTCAAAAATAATTGTTTTTTGAGATTGCCATAAAAAATATACTATAATATTCAATTTTGATTCTCTTTGGTTGCTCGAGTTTAAAAAGAAGTTTTTAAATCTATGAAAAATAACACTTGTGCAGAAGTGTTATAAAACTCAAGAAACAAAATAGGATCCTGTTGATAGCTTAAAAATGGATTATTTGATTATTTATCATAAGATACAAAATAACAAAGGCGTATGAAAACAAATGTAACTTAAAAAATTGTTTTCTTGGAATCTGCCTCAAAAAATCATAAATTAAATTTTAAAGACATTATATGGAAACTCTTCAATTGGAGATACTACCTTAAGTAGAGATTTCAATGTTAATTTTGGTATAGAGGAAGTACAACCTTGAATAGATTTTTAGATCCTAAATTTAACTTAAAAATTAATAACGATCGATATATTATCCACCTCGAAATCTGTGAGTACAATAGATGCGTTTTTGTTAGATATTTAAACAGACTACAATAAAAAATGTTCAATGCATACTTGAGTTATCATAAGCCTATTGTTAAAAAGTTCAAATTAAATATTCAATAGATGGTGTATGCTTATTAAAAATTATTCAACAAATTTAACTTATTTATCAATTCTTTTCCTGGTATGATTGTGAATACTGCGGAGAAGTTTCACTTCTAGCGTCACGCTAGTAGCGTGTTGTACGATTACACGATCATGTTTTTTTCACATTATTGCCCGTCTTTTTTTGTCAAATTTGTCAAAGTGAGAAACTTCTTTATAAAAAAGGTGTTTCTTTTAGGTCCCAATTTATTTTACTGTAGGTAGTTTTTAGAAAAGTGTCGAAAAGTCAAGTAGTTAAACTAAGTAGGTTAAGATAGAGGGTTATTTTTACCTTCTCATTTCCTCAATGGGTGGATCTGGAGCGACAGCGTCATAAAATGGTAGCTGATATTCGTCGTATATACCTCCGACGTTGCATCTTCTTGAAATTTCCCAGAATATTAATCCTAACGCGTAAACGTCTGCACGCTTAAAGGAATCAAAGTGGTGTATGTTCATGGATTCGTCCAGAACTTCAGGTGCCATGTATCTCTTAGTGCCTACGCGATCTTTTAAAGGTATGTCGACCGTGTCGTCGGTGACGTCGTGTCTCACGGCCAGTCCCAGGTCGCCAATGGCGCAGGTTATGTTAGATTTGACGAGAATGTTTTTCGACTTAAGGTCTCTGTGAGCAATTGCAGGTTTTCCTAAAATATAAAAATTCTTAAGGTTGAGATACGCCCCACACTGTGGCCAAGTTCCTGTTTTACTGACCATAAATAAAATTTTTATATTACAGTTTTAGTCTAACCGACATTTTAGCATAGTAAAAATAGCATGGTGAAAATATAACTTATGTAAATTAAATTTAAGTAAACAACACTGGCCGACAGCCATTTTGGTGCAGGGTAGACAACAACTTTTTTTAGGGTAATTTGAGTACGCCGAATCAAAAAATGACCATAACTTTGCTCAATCAGCCCTTGTTTTTGAGATGTAGACAAAAACAATTTTTCTACTCCCACCTTTAAAACGCCCTTTATCGTACTTGTTTCCATGACACTAAGTGACCTTTTAAATACACATTGACAAGTTGTGGCTTTATTGCGCTTTAGTCACGGGCTGAAGTTAGCAACAGGTTTTTAGTCACGGGCTGAAGTTAGTTTTAAGTTAGTTGACAGTTGTCAAATGTCATACAATCGTTAAAATAAAATGCCTTTCTTGTAAAATAATACTAAATGTGAAAATTATTTTATTATCTCAATACAAAAATACAAAAGTATTAAATAGTTTCTCAACGCCAATATTTGAAAAGTTTATATGAACATTGTACAAAAAAAAGTTCCTTCTTAAGAAGTCCCATAAGCCAACTGAATGGCTTGTGCGGGTTAGGGGTAGGAACGGACCGCGGGCTTAAAGTCCCCTAAGGACTAATCACCTTTTAATTTCGCCGGCAGTAAACTATAACCTAAATTCGGGCACGGATTCTACTGTAAAGTCCTCATAAAATATTTTCTTTACTTTTACTGTAAAAAACTGTCAATTTTCAAGATACATTTCGATTTATAACCTTTATAATTGTGTTTATAAAATGTAAAAATGTGACATTTGACAGTTTCCCCTGTTGTTTCATAGATGGCGCTCTATACAAATTTTTGATTTAAATCATTTTAAGATAATAATACGTATTTGTCGTAGAAAAAGTATAGTATGCACCTCGTTTATGAACTTTTCTATACACTCATTAACTTAAGCACTCGCTCGCAAGCTCGCTCGTGCCTAAATTAAATTCGTGTATAAAATGGCGTTTATCAAACTTGATACATAATATACTATTTTTTATATGCGCACATTCAAATGCTTAAATATATATTTTTTTAAGTTCTAATTTAAGCAAGTATAGTTGGTAATGTTGCTATGGCAGCCATTCCACGCTACTCGGGAATTTTCGTAGCGTCCGTTACAATCAAAAATTGTGAGTAAAAGCTACCGTAATTAAATTAAATACTGTTACAGTATTGCACACATGTTTATTATGCTTGTAATAATTGGGCTTAAACTTATAAGCATAATAATTAAGGTAGTTTTACTCACAATTTTTGATTGTAACGGACGCTACAAAAATTCCCGAGTAGCGTGGAATGGCTGATGGGTCTTTATTAAACTAACAAAAATGCCATATACATTGATAATGTTATTCTTTTTAAAAATCTTGCTTTCATCGAAATAAAATCGATTTTTTAGCCAAAATTAAGAAATTTTTAATATTCAAAGTGATACAGCATGATCAATTTTTGCCCGATTTAAATAAAATTTCAATGCAATCAAATAAAAATTGACATGACAATAAAATAAACCAAAATTGGGTACTACGTGTACCACTTAAATAAACTCCGTGAATAGCTATTAATATTCACTAGAGATGGGAAAATTCCCATTTGACGAAAATTCCCGGAAACTTTCCATCGAAACTTCCCGAAAGTTTAAAAAAAAAATTTTTTATTGCGAAAATATTTTTGTTTTATGCCAGGGATTTGCAAAAATATATAACACATTAACTTTTTGTCAAATTTTTGGTTGCATTAACGACATAGATTTTCTTACAAAACTTGCTTGAGAGCATGGTCTTTTTTGTTTTTTTGCACTATTTTGTAATAATTACGAGCCCTAACCACATAATGTTCGGACACTTCATAATTTATACAGAAATTTTTTTCGTGAATACTATCTCAAAATTATTAGAAGTTATGAAAAATTCAGCTTATTTTGGCATATACCCCTCGAAGCGATTTTTATTTTTAGCTTTAGCTTTTAAAAAAAGGCTAACTTTTTAACTTTTTTTGCATGAGTAAAAAAAGTTATAAATGGGCCCATTAAAAAGAACATAAAATATTATACAAACCCTAAAAATTTGGTAAAAATTGTATAAATAATAAGAAAGTTATAGCGATATAGGTATATATCTGCAAAATCTCCCGTTTCCTAAGAAAATTGCAAAAACTCTTTAAAAATAGCATTTTTAAATTACTTATACTTTTTTTATAACTTATTTATTTTTTACCAAATTTTCAGGGTTTGTATAATATTTTATGCTCTTTTTAATGGGCCCATTTATAACTTTTTTTACTCATGCAAAAAAAAGTTAAAAAGTTAGCCTTTTTTTAAAAGCTAAAAATAAAAGGTAAACTTTTTAAAAATAAAAATCGCTTTGAGGGGTATATGCCAAAATAAGCTGAATTTTTCATAACTTCTAATAATTTTGAGATAGTATTCACGAAAAAAATTTCTGTATAAATTATGAAGTGTCCGAACATTATGTGGTTAGGGCTCGTACAATCACTAGATTTTTCTCTTGGCATTGTGCTATGCCTATAAATAAACAACAAAAATGAAAGAATGATTTTAAATTTGTTTATTTTTTTAAAAAAGTTTTTTGTGTTGATGCTGAATAATCCGGCTTCATTGAGGTTATGTAACATAACTTACATTATTTATACTTCTTCTTCTGCTTTAAATTAACACAAATTAAATTCTTATTCAAAGTTTCTTGGCCTTGTATCATGGCCTTAACGAAAATCAGCGGTTAAACAATTGACATTTAAATGAAAAAAACAAGGAAAGTTTCCAAGGAATGTTTCCAAGGAATGTTTCCGGTAGCTTAAAAGAAACTTTCAAAATGAAAATAAATTCCCAATTGGAAACTTTCCAAAACGGAAAGTTTCCTTAAAATGGAAACTTTCCGATTCCCATCTCTAATATTCACAGAGCCTATTTAAGTGGACAATTTTTGTGACTAGGATTTTAGACCTGATTTTAAGTATGTCTAATAAGAAGATGTCAAAAATATTAATGTTTTTTTTTCTATTAGTTTTAGTGTATGAGAGTATGAGTAGAGTATCTGCTGCTGCTCTTAATACTCTACTATCATACACTCTGCCGTGCTAAGCTAAACCCCCGTATCTGCAATATTAAATAATAAGGACAAAAGATAGTTTTTATTGTTTTTAACAATGAAAATGATCTTTTATTTAATATTGCAGATACGGGGGTTTAGCTTAGCACGGCTGCACTACTCTCATTCAATTTTTGATTGCATTGAAATTTTAACACTATAGAGTAGATAAATAGAGCTACAAATAGGGTAAATTTTATTTAAATCGGGCAATACTTGATCATGCTGTATCACTTTTAAAAATATCCGAATTTTGGCTAAAAAAACGATTTTCTTTCGATGAAAGCAAGATTTTTAAAGAGAATATCATTATCAATATTTTTGGTACTTTTTTTAGTTTAATAAAGACCCATAGCAACATTACCAACTATCCTTGCTTAAATTAGAAAAATATATATAAGAAATTGAATGTGCGCATATCGAAAAAATGGTTTTTATTCTGCATCGCAAAAACAAGAGCTGATTGAGCAAAATTATGTTCATTTTTGGATTCAGCGTACCTAAATTACCATTAAAAAGTTTTTGGTTGCCATGCACCAAACAGAAATTTTATTTTGTCGGCCTGTGCAATTACTTACTAAATTTTTTTTGAAAAAATAAAAAAAAGAAAAACAATCCAGTAAAAAACCTGGTTGCCTAATTTTAATATGGTGAAGGGGTTTAAGATTGCTTTTAAGTTTTGTGTATCAGAAGATATTAATATAATTTATCGATCTCTTGTGTGGCACTCTTTGGATTATTTTTTGACGCAACAATAAACATAAATGTCAAAAAAATAAAAGTACGTTATTGCCACTATAATAATGTTTTGATTGGCTAAAACGTGCTCACATGACTGAAATTAATAGTTTCTATTAGTTTTTAGAAACGTCTGGTGTATATTTTAGCGCCAATATCCGAAAACAATAACTGTTGCATAATAACTAGGCATTTTAGAAAGTATGCGTAAAGCCTATCCCTGGTGGGACAACCTCTTGGCTGGTCCACAGTGCTAACTACTACATCACCGAGGGCGGCATAAGCATATCATATCATATTATGAACAAAATGGTTTTATTAGAGACTCAACCAGAATACCGCGTGAGTTTTTTAAAGTGTGGAAACGGTTTAAATTTTTTTTGTGAAATTTTGTAAAACTAATAGAACATTTTTTACATCTACCCCCTTTCTCTATTTTTAAGGGCGGGGGTAACTTTGGATTTTTAATAAGGATGATGTACTTAAAAAACGAATGAATGTAAAAAAACTAGGTACCCTATGTTTGCAAAAAAAATGTTTTGCACTTTCGCTAACGGAATTTTGATTTATTAAATTATAAAATACTAAAACATAATTTTAATTTATTTATCAAGTGAAAGAAATTCATTTAGAAAAAGAGTAAGAAAGTGTTTGGAAGTTAAGGGACATTTTGAAGAATTTTTCAAACATGACAGAAAATAAATTATTTGAAATTTAATTGTTAATGTTTTTTAGTATCTTATAATCTTATAAATCATAATTTAGTAACCAAAAGGGCAAATTAAACATTTTTAAATACCTAGTAGATTCGGATTTAAAAAAAAGTACATCATCCCTATTTAAACTCCAAAGTTACTCCCTGCCCCTCAAAATAGGTAGGTGTCAAAAATATGTTTAAATATCTCCCCCCTCTATTACTTTATCAAAATTTCACAAACAAATTTTAAATTGTTTTCTAAATATCCCCATGTAATACTTATATGTGTTAATTGGCAAATTTTATCTTTTATCAGCCAAATAATTTAATATGGAACTGCCAACCTTGAAATAATTTCTTTCTTTTTTTTTGCATTTTTATACTTTAGAAAGCAAACTTGGCAAAAACTATTGTGGCTTTTTTGATGCATGAAAGGAATTTTTTGTTAAATATCTTACAAATTGTATATTTTATCATGTTCCGAACTAGTTCATTAGGAAATGCCAACGTTGAAATTATTGCTATTTAATAATTTTTTTAAAACATTTTTGGTGCGTGAACGAAATGTTTTATTAAATATGTGTTAAATGGTATATCTTATCTTGTTATAAACCAAAGAATTTCACAAGGAACTGCAAACATTAAATTAATTGCATTTTTTTTAAACAGTTTTGGAGAATTGTCAAAATATATTGATGGTTTTTTGGTGCGTGAACGAAATTTCTTGATAAATGTGTAAATAAATAAATTATCTTGTGAACCAAACACTAAATATAATTACCAAGTTTATCAACATTTTTGACGAAATTTAAACACCGATTAACTTTTTGAAAAAAACAAATTAAAATATATTAGTTAAGCTAGTATCTTCATTTAAAGGGTTTGATAAATATTAATAGCATTCCAAAACTCGGCTTATCCATATTAGTTGTTTCCGAGCAAAATGTCAAAAACCTTACACTTGAGTACTAACGCATATCAGGCAAACACAATACTTTAAACGAAATATAAAGGCATAAGTAAAACATTTATATACCTTGATTAAAAAGGTATAACCCCAGTTTAAAATAATTTAAAATTACATACGTACATGCCGAGTTCTGCATGATATAACCAATAGAAAAGGCAAGTTTTGGAACGATAGTCAATTTGTAAATGAAATAAGGTTAATTTTAGAATATTATGAACTTTCCAGGGTAAAGGGGGATACATGTTAAATGTACAGACACCACTAACTCATTTTTATTAAAAAGTGGATAAGCTGAGTTTTGAAATGGACCTCCACAATTATAGACTAAAAACATACACGTAGGCCGTCAGAACAAATTCAGCGGTGCCAATTTAGTAAATATAAAACGTGGTATTTTAATTTTCAAATTAATACTTTATTACAAATCAAAGTATTATTCAAAAATAAATAAGTAAAAATATAAATTGTTAATTTGTAGTTATAATGTCAAAATTTCATATTTTTGTGTTTCTTAAGTTGGCAGCACAAAATTTAAAATGACAATTTTAAAAAGTTCTAAAAAATTGTATTTTGAGATTTCAAGAAAAAATACTGTAATAATTAATTTCTAACACATCAACATGATCCTCTTTGGTTGCTCGAGTTTAACGAACGAATTTTTGAAAGATACACCTGTACAGAAGTGATATTTCCCACAAATTTTAAAAATTCGTTGCCAAACTCGAAAAACAAAATTGATGGCTTAAAAATTGAGTTTATTTTTTATGGAAATCTCATGAGCGAGCTCGTAAGATACAAAATAAAAAAATAGCGTATGGAAACAAATGTAACTTTACAAATTATTTTCTTGGAATCTGTGCTACAAAAAAATCTGAAATTATTTGTGAGTGTCACGAATACATTAAATTTTGGAGACATTCTATACAAACTTTTTAATGGAGATTTTACCTTAAAAAAACTTGACAAATAAAAAAGTTATTTGCCAATAGTTTAAAAGATTTAAATGATTTTATTTCTTAAAATAGCATAAAAACTTTAATAATTCGATTGTTTAATTATAGGTTGGTACTTAAAACCAAATAGATTTTGCAAAATTCTGTCGATAAAATTCATAAATAAAAAGTTTAGACTTTTTTTAGCCTTCTGAATTACTACATCACCTATGTAAATACATTAAAAACAATTACAACCTTACTAAAACCTACTAACTGTAAACAGATTTAAAAATAAATAAATAAACATTAAATTTAATTCATACCTTGGGTACCCATAATGTCCATGTGTAAATGAGCTAGACCAGTGGCAATGGAAAGGGCCATGCGAATCATTCCTGAGGTATCAACGGTATTTCTACTCAAAAAATCAAATAAGGAACCATGTTCATGATAGTCAGTGATAAGCCAAAGCTGGGTCCAAGTTCCATTATCTACAAAAAATAGTTTATTGTTAACAATACAAATAAAAACATTATGTGATGCGGGATAAGATATACGCCATAACGACCCAAACATCGATCGTGCACTACTACAACTCAGAGCTCTGCCGGCATCTTCGTTTTAGGTCTTTGGGGCGATTTTCTCATTTCACATTTTATTTTTTAAGTTTTATGTTTTACCTTTGTTGTCAGCAGCGATAAATCCCAGTATGTTGTCGTGTCTCAACATGACTGTCTGATAAATTTCGGCCTCTCTAAACCAAGATCTTTCTTCTCGGGAGCTGAATATTTTAACGGCAACATTTCCGCCCCTCCATCTACCCCTATGAACCTCTCCGAATCTACCCTGACCGATAGTCTCGACCAATTGGATTTGTCGAGCGATGCTTCTTTGCACCAACAGCGGCAAACCTAAAAAATAAATAGATGGATATCATTTTTGGTGATGTGTGATAATTCTGGCCGTCAGACGTTGCCATAATATGTGTACCTTTAGCAAAATACAGAATTTTTAAACTATACCTGATCCACTTCCGCTGGTGGTCATCTCGATCAAGTGTCTTAAGCTGACACTTTTGCTGAGTATAGGGTGATCAGGCGCTTCTATGCTGTCGTCGCCATGACCCAAATGATGGTGCATACCTCTTCTGCGCACGTGCATTGACCTGCATACGTACAGAGCGGCAAGAAGGCATATTAACAATATGGGAATTAGCACGATCAGAACGATCTGCAGGTTGGAGACGAAGTTGCTGGGTGATTCTAGATTTAGAGAACAGTTTTGTTTTATTAAAAGAAGGTTAAAAGTTAATAAATTGTTTAACCTTAAAAAATACGAATACCTGGTAAAAGAACATTAACCTAAAAAAGTATATGAAGCATGGTATTCCCAAAGGGTCCAAGTGCCAAGTTGGTCAAATATTATCATTTAAAAATAGTATTTGTGCCATGCAGGATGACTTAAAAAATATTTTAACTCCATATTATTTTTGTAAGTACTTTTTTTTACTTTTTTAAGATGGCTCTGCCTGTACATTTATATGTGCACAAGATTTGTTTTTCATTAATTACTCACATTTTTATTTTTGGCAACCATTTGGGAATACCACGCTTCATATAAAATTCCTAATTAAATAGGAAGTGCTACCATTTACTATTAATGTTTTAACGAAAGATCCTCTCATGTTAAAGTATTTATTATAACTTTTTGATAATATTAATTAGTTATTTAGAATAATAGTAATATGTAATATGTTGAGAGAACCTATCAACATTGTACTACTAACGTAAACTTATAATATTACTAAAAATAAAAATGAAATCATCTATGGAAGGAATAAAAAAATCATTTTTTCTCTTCTGAAAATAAAATAAAAATGTTTCCTGCGTGATATAAGCATAGAAAAAAATCGCAAATTTGAAAAAAATACGAACTAAACATGTGTCTACTCGCAGCTCGGTAGGCGCATAAATGTCGACATCCGGATAGTTCGTTATATATCCGGTTCGGATCATGAAATTGAGAAAATGCTTACAAAGTTACAGTACAAATATCACGCTGAAAACTTTTTTTTCTCATTTTCCAAAGTTCTGATGGCCATATCTTCTGACAAGCAAAAGACACAAAATTGATTCAAAAACTGGTTTATGGGAAATTTTATAAGCTTTAAAATTAATAGTACGTATAATCTCTTCATTCAGAATAAAAAGTATAGTGATTTTTAATAAAAACCAGCAAATAACTTGGATTTTCATTGTTTTTCCAGATTGTAAAATTGAAAATAAATGCTTTTTGCAGTATAATTCAATAAATATTGTTTGCGATGAGCGGAGAAATTTTTTTTAGCCAAAAACTGGTTTTGGACGTCGCGACGCGTCGTTAGAAAAATTAACCTAAAAAATCTTGTTCAAAATTGAGTTTTCTTTTTATTCCTTTTATAGTCGCTGAAGGACGTAAGTCAATGGCTTCAATTAAGAACATTTATTATTATTCCTTCCATGGATGATTTTCATTTTTACCTGAAATTACTTAATTCTGATAACAATAAAAATTTCGAAAAAAATGTTTAAATTTTCAATAAATTTTTATAGATAGGTATAATAAATTTGGTTTGGAATTTTTCTCAATAGATAACAATTTTATTCCAAATTACTGATTAAAATGAAAAATATTTTCTTAAAACCGTTTTACCAGGTATTTTTTGTTGAGTCAAATGCAGGGTGCTCCAAGTATTTTTTTATGTGTACACCTACATAAGGGTAATATTTAAAGAGGTACAAGGTCGGTTATTAGAGAAAAGTTGCAAAACTACAAGCCCATTTAAATAAAGTTTAAAAAAAACAGCGCTTCCACAAAGTAATAAAAAACTAGTTCCACCTTACAATACACATGTATCTATATTTTCCTTGATATTTTCATCCAATTTCTTCGCTAATATATTTTGAGTATTGTTTTTATAATGGCCGCCATAACTTATGTAGTAAATCCGATACATCTGTGGATTCTTTTTTTTTACCATGTAAAATTCCAATATGGCCATAGGTGGTGATAATTCAAAAACTAGTAGCGAAAAAAATCACAAATTGGATGAAAATTTATATACATGTGAAACTTACTCAATAACCGCTGATTTAAAAAAAATTTTAAATGCCATTTTAATAGACTTAATAATTACACTTTTCTCTAATTTAACCGACCTTGTAGTTCTTCATAGATAGAAGGATACTTGGTGTACCCTGTATTAATGCAAAACAATGTATTTTTTAAGGTTTTTGATTAATTTTTGTTAATATTATAACAAGTTAAACTAATAGAAGTCACAAACCTTACATAAACAAACAAATAGTACAAACTAATGTAAGCAAGCAAAAGCACAAAACATGCAGCAATTATACCAATTTATGAGAATACATACTGGATGGAATATGCAAAAAATGTAACACAACCATCTGAAATTTGAACATACTTTTGTGTATTAGTTTTTGCCCTTATGATTCTGTAAAAACCATCGTATTTATCTGCAACAATCACAATTTAGTTTACGTTTGGTGTATATCATGTTTAACGGCTAAATAAACTGCCTTTTTGTTAGTTTTTATTTATTTTCAAGAGTCCTACTACATGAGTTTAAGGTACTGGGACTTACTACTAAATGTTTACCAAACAATATCCATGTTAATTTAATGAGATTTTGGCCATTTCTTATTTTGGGATATGGATATTCCGATGTTATAATGGAAATTGAGGGGTATTTTCGAGAGGCGTTGGAATAAATGCATCGCCCTAAGAGGCGAAGAATGAAAATTGTGAAAAACATGTGTTTTAATTAGAAGTATAAATAAGTTTTATAATTCGAATAGAAAATTATATTTCCCCAAACGTTAGTGCATGCTTCTACGAAAAAAATAAATAAATTTACATTATGTTTACTATTGGATTTTATTTGCGTTTTTTTGTTTATGATAAGTTAATGCCTTGGAGCGATGATTCCAAACTATATTTTCCCTTTGCATGCATAGAATTTCTTTTAAATATTACCTACTTTATTCGAGTAAAATCCCAAATTAGAGAAAGCAGTTTATTTTTAAAACTTATTTTACTACGGATTGTAAAGGCGCGTTTTTTGCCTAAAAATAATAAGTAAATAATTTGTGAAGCCTTTAAAATTAAAATAGTTTGTAATATCACAGGTCAACTACTAAATTAAGAGAAAAGAGCACAAAATCTGACAAATTTTAAACTTTGTTTTTATCAAGCAAACAAGTTATTGTCGAAGTTTTGTTTTGTGTCCCTGTTTGTATTTGTTTTTAATTTTAAATGTTGATGATAAAATTAAATTGTATGTCAATCCTTTTATAATTAGAATTTCAAGCTTTGATTTTAAGGAACTAGTCAATTTAATTGGTCCCAAACTTAAGATTTCTTGCTACCGGTGAAATTAAATTGTCCAGGGAGCTACAAAAAGTTAAAAACTGCCGTTATATTTTTGTTTTGCCGTCTAGTGGGAAAGCCGCCTTTGGTTTTTAAGATATACACAAAAAGAATTTTTTTAAAGGAATTAAGAAAGAAGTGCTATAGGGGTTTCTAAAAAATCTTAGAATTGATTAAGATGACACATAAAAGTTGTAAGGATTCATATTAAATATGCTCCAAAAATCTAAATTCTAAAAAATAAAATCAATGGGAATTAAATAAATTAACTATTTTTTTGCTACTGTCTGAAACTTTTTTATATTACCTTTACATTTATGGTAATTGCAGTTATTTCTTCTAAATAAATGGATAATTTGAACACAACAAAATTACTTAAGTAATCTAAACGAAAATTGACGTCGTGATTTGTTCAAAAATTAGATCAAATTGAAGCATTTAAAATCACCCCTGCTGGCATAATATGAATTCCATTGGCAGGCAATAATGCGTGTCTAGGATTTGATCATTAAAAAAATATATAAAAAGAAATTCAATGTATTCACATGAGGAAGAAATGTACATTTCAGGACATTATTCTTTTTCTATATTTATCTACGAGGTTAAATCAATAAGTACCCCTGTTTAAAGACAGATGGCGTGGTTGAGGAAAACCCGCGATCAGAACGTTAAAAACGTGGACAAAACTAAACCAAAAAATGGCGTAATTTGGTTATAAATGAGATAATTCTGAATGATTTGTCCATTAAGCATTTAGCAGATACTGATTAAAATAACTTTAAAAAGCGAATTTTGAGTTATAACCGATAAGGTTATTTTACCTGTGAAATGTTATTTTACCGGTGGCTATCAAGTGTATTACGTCGTTTTATAGATAATAATAATAATAATAATGTTTATTGCCCAACAGATATTATATCCAATTACAGGACAAACTTAATGATACCAATTTGTGTATACTAACTAAACTACTAAATGAAGATGATACAATGTATGGTGGTAATAGATGGTAGTACCAGCTATCCTCAGCAAAGCCATCTGCCTTCTAAAACGGGTACTTATTATTATTATTAATTTTTTTAATATATTTTGTATGCATTTACACCGACAAGTGAAACCTTTTTCTTTAGTTTACATAAATGATGAAGTAAATACCATATAAAAATTTTTAAAATGGCTCAAAATTATTTTCCTTTTTTAGCTTTTTTATCTACGAACATTCGCGATTTTTTATGAATATACACCAAACGCCGATGCCAAAAAAGTTGACGAATATCATAACATGTAAAAATAAATATATAAACCCCCAAAATGAACTATCAAATAGTCCCACATCTAACCTGCATAGGTAGATACAAACTTGAACACGATATTAGCATTGCAATAGTCTGTGTGCGAGCAACAGCTCGAAGCCCCCTTCTCCGGATGGCTCTCGTTGCACAATATAGAGGGGCCCGTTTTTTTGTCGAGCACATCAACTATATCGCTATCGTAACATCTATAAGAAAAAAATCAGTATAATTGTTTTGTGTTAGGAAAGGAGGTTTAAACTGCAGAGACGGTTAGGTTAGTAGGTAGCTGAAAATAAGTGCGGAAATAATAAGAAAATTGCGTGGCATGCTTTAGGAAAAGAAAATATAAGTTTAGACAAAAGTAATTTCTATAAAACGGACAGTTCTATTCTTTTATATAAAACAAACATTTCTATTTTTTCTAAATATATCTACAAATTTTAGGAGACAGTTTTCCATGTTTAAGTTATTTAAAGCAACTCTAAAACAAATATTAAACACTAGTCAACCGATTTACGTTAAGGTGCTAGGGAATTATACAATGTAATAAAATGAAAACTATTAATATACACCCAGTTATAAAAAGTTTGAAACAAAGATGAAAGTGAAAAATTTGTTATTTTCTTTTGTATTTTGCTATTTTTTAATTAATTACTAATTGCTTACACTTAGCCATTAGTCATTTCGTTTATTTATTTATTTTATCATACAGTGCTTGAGGTTGTTTTTGGTATTGATGTCACTAACAATATTTGTTGTAATGTAAGAAAAGTAGAAAAATGGCATATGAAAGATACGCAATGGAAATCAAAAAATTAAACCTATATTAAATATAGGGGTATAGAAGCAAAACCAGCAATTTTCACTGTTAAATTTTTCAGGTCACACAATTTTTTAATACAAGTTTTCTTTTCAAGTTTTCTTGTAGTTTATTTTTATTTTGACATCCAAATTACTTAGTAACTTACTAGTAATTAGTAATTTAAGTTTGGAGATTGCCAGTTTTGTTTCAAACACTTGAAGATTGCCGCTTTTGCTACAAAAAAATTAATTTACAAAATTGAAAAATATACACACATTTGGTCAAAAATTTATTTAAATAGAGAAGTATTTTTTAATATACTAGGGATTCTTTAAAGAAAGGTTTAATTTAAAATAAATTAAAAAAGTAATAAATTGTTAACGTCATTTTAAAATAAATACATTTTTTAACATTAAATATAGATAATCAAGGGATTTGCTACAAAATATTTTGTGTCGTTGTAGATATGAACATAATGATTCCACCATTAACCCAATTTCTCCAAAAAGTGGAGATAGCTGGTTTTGCTACTATCAAAAATATGTACAAAATCTTAACCTTAATTAAATTTCAAGATAAAGGAAAAATTTAAAAAAAATAATGGCACATTTTATAAATAGCCTAATTTTGAAGATACAGGGTGTCCCAAATTTGGCGGCCCAAAGGGTAAAGGTATATTCCTCTTGAAATTCCAAGACAAATTTTACTTTACCATTTTTTCGAATTCGCAAAACTTTAAAACCGCCAATGAGACAGTCTGAGTATTTCGGCTTTATCCTGTATTTGTTCGAATGTAGGTAGGCAACCGGGATTACAAATCGATAATACTGCCCCATTATTGGCGGCTTTAAAGTCAAATAACTCCTACAAAAACTGGTGAAGGAAAATTCGTCTTGTAGTTTTAAGAGGAATTTACTTTTTCCTTTTATACCATATACCTGTATTCATGGATTTTACAAAAAAGTGATATTTTATAAAACAAAGACAACCACAAAAAATCTCCTGAAGCCAAAAAATAGTACATTATAGGCGAAGAAAGCACAAATTATCGCCGAGCATACATTTCACTGCCGAGGCAATTAATTAGCTTTCGCCCCCGAATTTATACACAATTTTTTTTCATGCTTTTAATTAAAGAATTTTTTAAGATTCTGTCACATCATTTTTAGGTTTGTATTGTGTTATTAATATGAAATCTTTCTTATGAGTCTTATAATATGAAAATTATTGTACTCTTGAAAAATAGTACACTATAGACCAGGCGGAGATTAATAAGCATTTAATTAAATAATTAATTAAGATTCTGTCACATCATTTTTCGGTTAGGTACAACTGACATGTTGACATTTTAGCTTTATTTTTTTACAAAGATTATTAATAATTTGACTTTTGAACTGGTATTAATATGAAGTCTTTCTATATACTCGTAGTCTAAAAATATGAAAAATACATATTAGACTGGGCCAAAAAAATCAACTATTTTTTAAAGTATATCATTTTTTGTAGAAAATTTGATTTCCTATAAGAATATTTATCGGTTTTTTTCCGGGTACTGATTTTTACATGAATTACAAAATTCCAAAGTTAAAAGATCAAATTGTAAAACTATATAAATTTTTAAGGCATGATTGTAAGAAAACGGTTCATCTGACGGGAAATTCCAATCAAACCTTTTTTGTAGAGCATTCAATTTTCTTCAAAAAAATATTCTTTAGTCAAATTTGTTAAACTCAATGGTTTGGTAGTTCTTAGACAAAAACTCGCTCAGGAAAAAAAAATCTAAAATTGCGATGATGGACCTCTTAATATTAATATTATGGACTCAAACTTTCCTCATAATTTTTTTTGTCACCCCAAACAATATTTTCGATATACTATACAAAAAAATTTTTTGGCCCAGTCTAATACATATATGTATATGAGGCTATCGCCTCGGCAGTGAAATGTATGCTCGGCGATAATTTGTGCTTTCTCCGCCTGGTCAATAATGTACTATGTGATTTTTTTTATATTTTGGATAGTATAATATGCACTTAAATGCAGACAGTGTACCTGAAATGCTTATCCAAACTTCACAAAATTTGCTATTCATATTCAGAAATGTTTACTTAAAAAACGAATTATTAAACAATTTATTTTTTAGACATGTACAAATTTCACTAAAATCAGTTAATCAGTATAAAAGCAACAAAGAATTATATACAAAATGACAAAATATTAAAAAAAAGTAAAGTCAGCATATTTTGTTAGGAGTAAAATAACTTTTTTTCTTATTTTGATAAAAAATGCCATTTTTGCATCGCTGATATTACAAATTCTGGCCAAATCGCAATTTTAAGTTCTGGTTTTAAAGTAAGCATTTCCAATGCACATGAATTTTTTGCAGCGTTGTTCTCTGCATAAATTTCGTTAAGTTTAGTCAAGCATTATAGTTACACCCTGTATATAATAGTTCACTGTACTTTTTAACTAAAAAATTAATAACTAATAAATAAATGTAAATTCGTAGTAGGGTATTTGTTGACTAGCATATTTGTTAAATTCATAACTCCCTCATATTCCCATTTTAGGATCCTTAGTTTTTCATTCTAGACTTTTTACTTTGCAGTAATTATATACATTTGTTTAGTTCAAATTTAATACTTTTTTAATATTATTTTACGTATTTATAGCGTTTACAAGCAACGGTGTATCCACAACCATAGAATTTAATAGCATGTAAAATGTGTAAGACTTGTAAATTTAATTAATGATGAAGTAAAGGTATGATATTTGTTGTATTAACAAAAATTACACTTTTTACTTACAATTTTTAATAATTTTAATCACCTTATCCCGTGGTTGCGTAGAAGAAATAATATACAAAAAAGAAGTATGCATAACACTTGTGCTGCTAAATAAATTTTGAAAATAAAATAACACAATATGTACAGCTAATGCAATAGGTTTTTTCTACTTGGTTGCAGTTGCGGTATTTTTGCAGGAAGTTTACCTTCTGGATAGAGAACTTGTGGGCGCAAGTTCTCGTTGCAGTAGTCACCATCTTTGCAGCATTCCATGTTAAATTCCCGGGGTTCCAAGTATTTATGGCAAAACATCGGATTGCTAGCCGGTACCGTTAGATGCTTGTCCAGGCACCTAAATTTTTTGGGATATTTTTCAAAACTGATTTTTACAAACGCGAGAAACCTAACTTAAAATTTATATAGGTAACCCTTTAGTCGAACTTATTATGAAGAATAGAACACTTTTAAATATGTTGTTTCAAAACCTAAATTTATGTTATGTTGAGAGAAAATCTGTACCCCAAAGCCAAACTTTACAAGTTCATGTTTTTCCAATCGTAAACAGGATTAAGTCCTGGCTTACTTACTTTTTTGATGTATCAAAAACTAAGTAAGCCAGGACTTACTCTTGAAAAAGGCGGAAAAACGTATACAAAAATTTTATAACGTTTTTAAAAAAGTGGATTTAATACAGTTTGGCTCTGGGGTACATATATTTAAAAACAAAAAATCCAAATATGTGGATAAATTATGTAGGGTGGGTACTAGGGTGTCCGTTATTTGGGCGATGTGCGAATTTTTTTGCTCGCACCCCCCAAAAAGTTGTAGTTTGGGAAAAAAAAATTTTTGGTAATTTTTTTAGATTTTTTTTTTTTAATTAACCCGTGCCGCAAGAGGGTTAAAGATTTAATTATTATATATTATATTTTTTAATAAAAAACCGTTTTTTGGGATTTTTGACAGCTATTTTGACAGCTGTCATCAATGAAAATGTCAGATTCGAGTTCAGCGATGTCAAAACCATAAGTATACCAATTTTCAGATTTTTTTATTGAAAACTGGCGACGTTACAGGACTTTCAATGTGAAAAGAGCCTAATCCCATTTTTCATCCGATTTGCGATTTTACCTACTCCCGACACAGGCTATTCTAAAAAAACGATTAATGAAAAAAAAAACGAATTTCAGATTCGGGTTCAGCGGTGTTTGAACTATAAAAAAACCACTCGACAGACTTTTTTCATTGAAAAATCGTGGAGTGGTAAGCCTATAGTGAAAGGCAAAATTTAATCATATTTTAACAATAATTAAATCTTTAACCCTCTTGCGGCACGGGTTAATTAAAAAATAAAAATCTAAAAAAATTACCAAAAATTTTTTTTTTCCCAAACTACAACTTTTTGGGGGGTGCGAGCAAAAAAATTCGCACATCGCCCAAATAACGGACACCCTAGTGGGTACGTTTCATTATAATTTGTTTTTTTATCATATGTCTCTTAATGTATTAAGCCGATTTTATTCATATAATAATATTATATAATTCTAGTTTGGGTTTTTTTTATGAGACGACGTTTGTCCGTAAATTATTTTTGCTATATATAAGAATATTTTTTATATATAAACTTTAAATTTCCTATATATATAGAAACTTTTTAGTGCAGATAATACCGCTTGAGAATGAGGGCGCTTTGTGGTAATCAACTAAAAAGCACTGTTGCTAGAATGTGCCAATGCAAAGTTTTGGTCAGTGTTTCCAACATAACGTTTCGCCAGATCTGGCAGATTTTAATAAAGGTCGAGGGAAAAAAGATACTCTTACGACTGACGGATTTTTTAACGGAAACTTGAACATAATATCGAATGCTATTTGTCATAAGATTTGTACCTATATAATTTAATTTGTAAGAGTCCAAGTTTAAAAAAAAAAGATTCTTTGTTTTTTTTATAAATTCACAAGATAAGCAAAACATAAGAAATTTTAGTTTTTTAAATACCTATTAGTAAACACGAAGCCGTGTTTATTTAGAGAAATAGAGACGGCCAAAGAAGAGAAATGTTTTCTTCAATAAAAACAGACCAACCGACCAATATATTACCTATAAGTATTTAAAAAAAACTAAAATCCTATACTTTTTGCTATCATTTTGTTCCGCTAGATCTGGCCGAAGATCCGTTATGTTGGAAACACTGACCAAAACTTTGCATTGGCACACTCTGGCAACAGTGCTTTTTAGTTGAACACCACAAAGCGCCCTAATTCTCAAGCGGCATTATCTGAACTAAAAAGTTTCTATATATATAGGAAATTTAAAGTTTATATATAAAAAATATTCTTATATATAGCAAAAATAATTTATGGACAAACGGCGCCTCATATTTTTTGGTTTAAATTTTGTGTACATAGTGTCCATAATCCAGAACTAGTTTGGACATCCTACGCATGCCCTAGGATGTCCAGAAAACAGACAATATTTTTTGCCGTTTTATAAACATTATTTTTTAATATTGTATGTAAAATGTATTTTGGATGAAAAGTTTAACCGGCATTAAAGCTTTAAACAGGTTTTAAAAATTTGTTTTTATATTTGAAAACCTTATATGCATATAAATTTAAAACCTAAAAATCTGAACTATAATACTATAATAATAAAAACATTATTTCAGTGTATACATATAAATATCAAAAAATGACAAATGTATGCTCTAAATGGAAATGCATTGTAGTTTTAAAACTTAAAACTGGCATATATATTTTGTAAATAGAATAGGATAGGGGTAATCTAGCTAATAAAAATTAATAATTAGTAAATAAATTGAATATTATTCAATTAATTCATAACTGAATAAGTATAATGCCAATTTTAACAATTTATTTTGTCTATCTCTTTTTTTTTCACAAAAAGGCCCAATTAGTTTTAAAATTTTGTTCAACAATAATATTCAATTCTTGAAATATGTTAGTTAAAACTCTTTCAAAAAAACTAGCTTCGGTTACTTAAAGGGCCACACTTTTACCTGTACCGTCATTATTAAGTAGCTCATTTTGCGAAACAGTTTCGTTACGTTCAATAGGACAATCTGCATTACAATAATTCTTATTGTTACAACAGCAAGGTTTTTCTTCATTAACGTCTCTACGATGACACCAATAAGAGTCTTCGGGGGGGAAAAACTTGGTTCTATGTAGGCAACTAATGTAACTATATTAGTTAACTACATCATTAAAATAGTCATTTAACAATTAAAAGGATGAAATTAAGTCAACAGTGAAAATGTAATACAAACTGTGTTAAATAAAATATATATTTTCTTTATTAGGGCTTTGGCTATGTTGATAGTATATGCAGATTCTTTCCAGTCCAAATAAAAATTTCAACATCTTTTAACCACATGGTTTGTAATTATTATTGTTAAAGTACCAATAAAATTGGAAATTTATATTTAATTTATATATATAATTTTAATTTGATAGATAAAAATTATTACAGCTCCAATTGGAATTAAAAGTTTTTAAATTTGACATTTAGGTGAGGTGACCCTAAGTCAAAATTCAACAATTCAGATCAAGTAGGTAGTAAAATTGAATGTCAAATGTAAGCCAACTTATTATAATTATCAATGATAAATTATTCATATACCTAATCAATAGAAAAAACCTATTAAAAAAAAAGTAAGTTTGTTTTATTTTAGTGTCTCAAAACTTGAATTTGCATATATAATTAAGATTTGCGTCGTAAAATGTTTTTATACAATGCATGTCTTTAGGTTTGAATCAAATACCTAGCCTTCATAAAGGTTGAATTTTTGATCATACCTGTATATGTATTTCATTTTTCCATTATTCCAGTTTACAGCAGTAAAACAGTATCCCTCAGTTTCACATGTGTAATTTGTGGTGGGACACATGTCACATTTGCACAAAAGTGCCCATGCACCTTAAAAATAGAAATAAATACAGGTTAATTAAAATATCTGAATTGTTTAAGAGCCTGATCTACCAATGATATACTTTTTAAAATTTTTTAAAATTTCTCCATGGCCAAATACCATAATTTTTGTATTTATGTTAACTTTATTTACACTTGGTAAAAAATATTCCAACTACAATACTTAAAAATGTCATATTTTTTTACATAGCATAAAGCATTGAAATGCTACTTCTGAAAAATATTAAAATTTATGTAAATTTGCTATAAATTTAATTCGAAAACTTAAATTTTAAACAACAAAAATCTTGACTTGTCCTATAGGAAATTATTCCATACATGGTAGGTCAGTGTTCGAAGGATGCACAAGTATGTTTACAACTTACCTGGTATATTTTGACATACGCAGGCTATGAGCACTAACAATATTAATCTTGTATCCATTTTCCTATTCACAAATTAAAACGTTCAATGATATCATGCACATTTAACTATTTAACTATCCAATACAACAAAAATAATTTAAACCATTTAGGAAGTCTGACATGGTTTACAGTAACACCCAAACGGCACGTTACTTCGGAACCATTTTATACTTTGCGAACTGCACAATTGTTTTCGGTTTCCGTATCCCTCAGCTTTATCGTAAACAAAACACTTTTTAGGATCCACAAATATCTACCATCATGGCCGACGAGGTTTTAAATTACATCACCAGATGGCGCTTCGAATATCAATATTATGCGCCAAATTTAAATTCTTTTTCATGCATGCAGTGCAGACTGATTACTCCACAACCCATGATTATTTCATGTCGTTAATCGCACTCTTTATGAATTATTCATGTTTATTGATAATTCTAGTTATCTTTTTGCAAACATTGATTTTTTAAATAAACATTATTTTACAGGCTTTTTAAATTTCAGAAATAACTGTATATTATGTATCAAGTGTGATAAACGCCATTTTAGTCACAAATTAAATTTATTGAGTGTCAAGAAGTAGTATATTATGTAAAAAGTTTGATAAACGCCATTTTATATAAACGAATTTAATTACGAATTTAATTTAGGCACGAGCGAGCTTGCGAGCGAGTGCTTAAATTAATGAGTGTATAAGTAGAAAAGTTTATAAACGAGGTGAATACTATGCACTGCATAGGTACTATACTTTTTCTACGACAAATACTTATTATTATGTTAAAATGATTTAAATCAAAAATTTGTATGGAGCGCCATCTATGAAACAATATGGGAATTTGTGTGTCACCGTCAAATGTCAATTTTTTTTTATAAACACAGATTATAAAGGTTATAAATCGAAATGTATTTCTTGAAAATAGACAGTTTTTCACAGTGAAAGTAAAGAAAATGTTTTATGAGCACTTTACAGTGGATTTCGTGTCCGAATTTAAGTTATAGTTTACTGCCGGCGAAATTAAAAGGTCAGTACAATGTTTATATCAACTTTTCAAATATTGGCGTTGAGAAACTATTTAATACTTTTGTATTTTTGTATTGAAATAATAAAATTTTTACATTTGGTATTATTTTACAAGAAAGGCCCTTTATTTTAACAATTGTATGACATTTGACAACTGTCAAATAACTTAAAACTAACTTCAGCCCGTGACTAAAAACCTGTTGCTAACTTCAGCCCGTGACTAAAGCGTCATAAAGTTACAACTTGTCAATGTGTATTTAAAAGGTCACTTAGTGTCATGGAAACCTGTACGATAAAGGGCGTTGTAAAGGTGGGAGTAGAAAAAGTTTATAAACGATCGAGTTGCAAAGTACCTACCTATATTTACTTTTTTACCACAAATACCTATTGTCTAAAAATGATTTAAATTAAATATTTGTATAAAGCGGCATCCAGTGGCGGTTGGTGGATTTTGGGTATACCGATAGGTATCTCAATTATTAAATATGGGACCCACACCAAATTTTTATGAGTTTATAATGACATAAATAAACAAGTTCTGCGCAAGCAGAATTTAATTTGAAGTTTGCGAAAAAATATAACTTTTTGCTCGGCCGTACCAGCCCCATGGCGACCCCAATATACTATAAATTTAATTATATCATTTTAAATTTTTATTACAAGGTTTTTTTACGCTTTAACCGAGCCACCGGACCGAGACGGGCCCCCAATGGCGCGGGCCCTGGTGCCACCGCACCACTGGCACCATTGTAGTTACGCCACTGATTGAAACGCACGACTGACGAATACAAATCTATCCAATCATCCAATACACTTCTGGGCAGTTCGTGATATTCACCACTGGACTGGAGATCATAAATTAGTTTAAAACTATTTTTCTTTGGTTGCGGTTTGTTCATATTGGTCTATTGTGACTCACAATTTGTGAGTAAACCTTTGATAAAAACTTAAATTTAAAAAACAATTTTCTTTAGAAGCAGTTTTTTATCGTTCAAACTCCAGACCGTCACGCGTAACTTCACATGGTTTAGTCCTTTTGATGCATTAGTTTATACTTATCAAGATGGGTTTTTATCTTATACTACGAATAATATTATAATAAGATGTCCCAAATGTGATGGCAAATTAAAATTTTTGTGATAACTCAACCCATTTCTCAAATACAGCGCGCTGCAGCGCCTAAAACGTTTGTAACTGGATTGTTACTCAATGTGATGGTCTTGAGTCAAGACCATCACATTTCTTTTATTAGTTCCAAATTTATTCGCAAGGATTACTACTCACTAATACGGGGACCCCGTAACGGGGTTGGTATCAAATGTCTTAAAGTCGTAAATGGTATGGCTAAAAAGTAGTGTCGCGCTGTGAGTTAAAGTTCTAAATTGTGTTTATTTTTGCGGTAAGTACAAATTTGGTAAACTTTTATGTTTCTTAACCGTCACACTGTTTAGTTTATTATGCAAGTTTCAAAAGGTACCAAAATATTTTTTTATTTTAAGCTTCTTGTTGTTTGGCTAACACCACTTTTCCACTGCGGTTAATAAATAAATACTAGGCGCCAATTTTGTATCGTGGTCCTCAAGACCGTCACCATCGAGACCGTCACTCTACGTCAAACTTTAAGTGTGATGGTATTGAGGAACCTTGTGACGGTGGTTTCCGCTTAGAATTTTACTGTACTTATACTCAAGTGTATTTCTACCTTCTTTTATGGAGATACGGACGTTATTTAAAATAGATAGCAGGATAGCAATGGAACAAAGTAAAAACAATCTAGCATGCTTAAACTAAAAAAATAATTAAAAGTAATCAGAGAAGAAGCGCATCTTAAATTTATTAAAAAACAAAATAAGGCAAATATTCTAAAAAAGAATAATAAAAAAAGAAAAAAGTAGAAAAAGAGATAAAGCATGTATAAATATGTTTTAAGGAAAGTGATAATGTGAAAGATACCGTCCAAAACGATGAGACTGATATTTATGAAAACCAAACCAAAAAAATAGAAAATGATAGTGCATTAAATAGTATTCAGCATAGCACTAAACCGAAAATAATAACTAGATCTAAGATAAGATATTCTGGAAGCATACAAACAGTTGCTGCTATAAATTCTAAAGACAAATCTAAAAGACGTGATGAGATAAAACAGAAAAAGACAAAGATCTCCCGAGGAACTTGAAACGAAACCAAGAAAAGTATAACTTCTATTGACCAAAAAAGAAAAGATGCAGCCAAAAGAAAAAGAAAACAAAAAGAAAGAATTAAAGCCGATATTAATAAATATGAATTGTTCAAAAATGCAGAAAAACTAAGAAGCAGCAAGAGAAGAGAAATGGGGAAGATTAAAAAGATTGATGGTATGTCTGAACGGGAAAAAAGGGTACAGAGAAAGCTGTGGCGAAATAGTTATCACCCGAGTCAAAATTTTAATCGTAATTTAAACCTACTTTGACCTACCAAAACTGATTTAAAACCTGTTCAGTCTGTTTACTCCAATTTAGCACTAGAACAACCGAAGTAATCTTCATTTGAACCGATTTAAACCGATTTAAACCTCTAATAAAATATTTGGTTTAAATTTAAACGTAATTAGAACCGAAAAATCGGGAAAATGGACTTATCTGCCATGTTTTAGGTCATAAGTTGTTTATCTTTAGGCGAATATAAAACCGTTTAAGACGGAAATTGTCAGACTTAAGGTTTAAATTACGATCTTAATTTTGACTCGGGCATCGTTGTAAAAATAATCTCAAAAAGGGAAAGATGAAGAATTAATAAGACAACAAAATACACCACCCGCTTCCGATGCAGAGGAACTAGTTTTTGTAGACATTTATAATAATCAGTTGCAAAATGCTGCTGTAAGAAGTTCACATCGAAATGCCGTCCGAAAACTTGAAGAAAAAGTTTTCGTCGAAAACAAGAAAAATAAAGGTTATGTCTGCAAGAAAAAATTAATTAATGCAAAAAACAGGCCAACTCGTGGAAGCAAAAATTTTCAAGGCTTCAAAAACAAAAAAATAATTGCTCTCCTTCGCCAAACTCAAAAGTAAAAGATATAATGCGTGAAGGACAATTAAGAGACTGTTAAACGAAAACTTAATGAGTGAGATTTTAGAAAAAAGTTGGCAATTCCATCAACGTCTACAATTTCCTCAAAGGAGTTAGCAATGCAAAGAGATCGTTTGAATAAATAAATGTTTGGACCCCAGCATAAACAACAGTAAGAGTATTACCCTAAATAATATCGAAATTGGTTCATTGGTAACTGTTATTTATGATGAAACTTGGTACCCTAGATGCATAAAAGAAATAAACGAAAATCACATTTATGCAACGCAACCGTTAACGGTGAATATTTTCAGTGGCTGTCCAAAGAAGATCTGCAAACTGTAAACAAATCTGGGGTGCTATATATCTTGGAAAATCGCCTTTAAAAAAATCGTCTCGCTTATTTTCTATTTATAAAGCTGACGAAATTGATGAACAATGCATTGATAAAATAACAAAGATATTATATGTAACTTTGGTCCCAAATCACTGTTAGTTTATACTAAAAACATTGATTGTAGTTTTTTTTATAGGATGGAATGTTCCAAAGTGGTTTCGCATTTTTAGTTAATTTCTTAGGTCCTGTTTTTTTTTGTCAAATACTTGAAAGTAGGTTTCATATTCTTCTTAATATTTTATATGAAAAGTTGTTTATTTCCAAATACTATTATTTTTAACTTACTTTTACCATTGATTAACGCTTTTACGTTGTTAAAAATTTTAACTTTTATGTCAAATGTATTTTTTCGTTAATGAATAAAAAAATATTTCTTTTTGTCCTATTTTTTTTGTACTTGTGGTCCCAAATCACTAAACCATCACACAAAATGCAATATCTTAACTTTAGACTCAAGACCATCACGATCTACTACCGACCGTCACACCACGTACTAATCCATTTCTCGTTTATTATTTTTTTAAATACCTATGTTTTGGGAGGTTTTTATTTT